ACCCCCTGCCCCTCATCAGAGTGTATGGGTGTAGATACGAGTACCTCTATAGACTAGCGGATAAACTCGAGGAGATCGGGAGTAAGCCTCTTGCTGTGGCCACAGCTGCATTATCAGAGCTAGACTGTCTCTTGGGGTTGTCCAGAGCCAGTCGGGAGCACGGCTGGACCCGACCAGCAGTGGTGCGCTGTCATCATTCTCCAACAATGCTCCATCTTGCATATATCAGGTGCCTCCTTCTACTAACGATGATGATGTCGTCATGAAACTTACCGGGTCGTGGCATCCTCTTATGTCTGACGCCACCACAACAACAGCTACTAGTGGTGGCAGAGTCGATAACAGCCATTCGGTGGTCTCCAATGATATACTCATAACCTCAGACTGCCGTACTCATATACTAACAGGGCCGAATTACTCTGGCAAGAGTGTTCTACTTAAACAGATAGGCTTAACGGCAGTGAGTCGAGAGTCAGGTCCAAGTGAGGGAGCCTAGCGGCGCTGTTCGATCAGTTCCTCTGCCATTGTGGTGTGTATGTTCCAGCTAAGCAATGCCGCATGCAACTCCTAACACAACTCTTCGCCCGAATGGCTAGCTCCGATCAGAGGATACCAAAGTTCGTTAGTGCTGGGGAGAGAAGGCAATTAGAGGACATCGTCAGATCAAGCACCCTCCTCTCAACCTTCACCAGGGATGCCCATGAGGTGAGCCTCCTCCTGTTGGCTCGCTGAAGGGTATCTACCCCCGAACGGGTGACCTTAGCCCTCACACTGCAACTGCCCAGTCGAGGCAATGGATTGTCTCCGATTAGGTATCTGTGGCGCTCGCCAACTGTAGCCGTACTTCTCTGATACTATTGGATGAGTTTGGTAAGGGTACATCCCCTATTGATGAGGTTAGTCTCCTTTCTGGTATAGTCAAGTATGCTTCTATCGGCTTGAACATCAACGCTCCCACTCTATTACTCACTACCCATTATGCTACTGAGTTGTACACTTGGGGGCTCATCAAGACCCCTCAGCAATGTGTTGATGAGGGCGACCAACAGATGAAGAGGCAGAGGAAACACGCTGTTGGTAAGGCATTGCCGTGCCGTTTAGCTGTTATACCACCCAAGGACCGCGGTGCCTCGGTCGTGTATCTGTATAAGCTGGAACGAAATAGGTATTCACAAGCATCGTACCCTATTCAATGTGCCGTGGCTAGTGGTGTATGCTCTAGTGTCACTGATAGAGCTGCCGAGGTACTCGAATCTCTAAGGTCTGGCAAACCCTTGGCCAAGCCTCGAGACCCCGACGAGGGTACCCATCAACCAAAACCCCATGATATGACCGCCGATCGAGGCAGCAGTGACACCCTAACCCATATACTGCTCACCTTCTCTCAGCTAGACCTCTCCTCTGGGT